ATCGGTAAATTCTACACGAAGAAAAACACTTCATCGTTCAAAAATTACACCATCGTTCCAGGAGCACCAGATATAAAAAAGCACATTTTCTTAATAAATTGAATCGAAAGGAATAAAAAAACTAAACATTACAAAAAAACTGTCAAGGGTCCAAATCAGTCATTTATCTCGTCTCTTGCACAACAATAGTAACCTTGGAATGTTTTCCCCACTGTCTAAAACTGTTTTATCCTCGGCACCTGAAACCGACCCAACCAAATCATTATCGATAAGGGCTTCCAAAATATCTTCCAAATCGGAGACGGCTGTACGGACACGGAATCGTGATCAGATAACTGAAAATCATCACCGCTTTCAATTTCATCAAACTACTTCAGTAATAAAATTTCATAATCCTCATCGCCAAACTTAACTGCCTTTGAAGTTAAATGCGCAGGATCCAAAAGTCAATATTTATTTCAAGTTTTAAAAAAGTTACACTTAATGTAACGTGAATTCTGGGAGACTCCGCTTCAACTTTAAACACAGTTATCTTTACATACAAAATTCGGAAACAACTGATATTCCTAGAGAGTGTTAATAACATCAAGGATTGAGGGTACCTGGAGAATAGTACAGATTTAGCGCGAGCTTTTAAATATACACTGATTGCATATACACTGAGTGCTGAGGAGTCTGGTAGACTCCAGGTCACCAGTTACGGGTTAATGTTGCAGGGTGCATTGGGTTTGAATTAATTAAATCAAACAAATTATTATTTTTACCAAATAACATTTATAAAAAACAACATAAAAAAAATTTGTTCTTTGTTTTAAAAACAAAGCGATTAACAAAAATATTATTAAATTAGATTTTTTGTAAGTTTAAGTTTATAATAAAAAATTGGATGAGTGAAATGTGCTGCATCGGTTTCAGTGAGTAAATATCATCGATTATTAATCATACTACCAGTTATATTTAGGGATAAAATATAATGAATTTTAAATTCCAACAGCATTTAGGGCATTATTAAAAGCGTTGATTAAGAAAGTCTCCAATCAACGCGTTGCAACGGTAGAATACCATTATATTATGTATTTGTATATTTAATATTATGTTGCCATGAATTCGTAGGTATATTTTGTGTTTAAAATGCAGTTGTCAGCGTTTTTTAGAGGACTCAAATATAAAAATATTTGATTTTAAGGTTATGTTTGTGCAAGATTTATTTTTTACTAATTTCTTAAAAATGTCCAAACTTAAATATAAATTATATTAGGTTCAGTTATCATTAGTATATTCTGCACAAACAAATGTATTTTCCGAATTGGATTCTTTGGCAAAACATGAAAATGCAACGATTTAGTTCTTGAATTTTATTTACAATTAAAAACACAATAATTCACCATGATACCTTAGATAAAATACACACACTAACGTAACTATATAAGCATATAAGCGTTGAGTTTCTTAATCAATGATATAAGGAATAATCAATCGAAATCGAGTAATAAACCAGTTTTTTAGTTTTTTCCTTGCAACGTAAAACACAAATAACGTTAGCGATTTAGCTGTGCAGTTGAATTTGTCGAGTAAAACTTCTTTTGTGAAAAAACTACCTATATATTTAAAATTGATGTGCAGTTCGTATGCAAAGTGTATTGTTGACAATTCTTAAATTCAAACAATGTTATCGAACTCCACCAGATGGCGCGCGCGTTGTGTAAACCCAAAACTTCTTTAGCGTATAATTTATTATTTTAATCATATTACAAACACAGCATACATGCAAAAGCAGATAAATCCATTTTAACTTTTTGGCCAAAAATGTATACAGCAGAGTCCCCCAAATATTTAAAAAATATTAAAAGGGAATGTTGCTCCTGTTGGGTTGTCCCTGTTTCGGTTAAAATGCTGTTGCAAGTCAAAAGAGTTTACCAAAATTAGTAAGAATCGGTACCATACTCTTAAAATGTAAAAATGGATTTATCTGTTTTTGCATGTTTGCTCCACAAATATTGTCACAAATAATATAACAAGTATGATTATCATCGATGATATTTTCGAATTGAAACAGAGCTTCGGTTTCAATGAGTAAATATCATCGAATATTAATCATACCACGGGTTATATTTAGTGAGAAAATATAATGAATTTTAGGATTTAAAAAGTTGTCAGATTGACATTTAAAATTAAAATGTGCTTTAAAATATAAAAAGACTTTAATAAACCTTATTTATTCAAACTTACCTTAATTTCATTATCGTTTACACCAACCCATCGATCTTTTAGAGTTTATAATTCATTACTTTAATGATATAAAAAACAGGATTTAATTAAACGACAACAGTGTCATAAGTCGAAAAAATTGAATTTTGGGTTGTAAAATTACTAATAGTTTATGCTGCAACAGTGGCAAAAAGATATTTTTGAAATTAATCCTTAGATGGAGACTTGTGTCTGTTTGCAATTTGTATAATCCCTATCATAATTTTCATCAACAGTGTCATAAAAAAGTTGGCTGTAAGTTGTGACAGTAATTTTGTTAGCGTAGGTTAGTAAAATTAAAGTTTTCAACAATAAAAGATTGAATAAGTGACGTTCCTCACCTTAAGGCAAACGGTCGTGTGTCTAGGGTCTCGTTTAACGCGTTTGTACTTTCATAGTGCTACCAACGCTATCGGTGTTCAAATTCATAAAATCAAATAATGATTCTACACGTGCTCTAACAAAACCAAGTGCAAAAAGATTGCAAATTGCGTGTGGATTCCTTTAAAAAGGGTGTAAGTGAGGTGATTGGATAAAACAATACAGAAACAACACGTGCCTGTCAATGCACCTGAAGTCCAAGTCTGCATAAACCTGATAAGTAAACCTACCAAAATTGGATGACCTTAATATTACTTAAAAACTAAATTTTAATGCGAAATTCGCAACCACAACTTATAAAGAACTCCTGCAGGTAAAAATTAATTAGTCGCCAACAGTTGCCATAAGAACAGCAAGCATGGCCAAAGAACTCATAAATAAGGGCTCACATAAGCAGTCATTAATCACTCAAGTTTAATTAAACACTAGGTAAAAGAAACTTATCCTAAAGAAAAAACATCTGTAGATTAAGCACATTTAAGGGAACCATAAATTACGTTCTATGCGAAATATTAAACAACCACACAGTGGGGTGCAACGTTATCGATAGTCAGCAACCTCGGAATCCGACTCGGACAGACACGGACACATACGAACAGGAAGTACTTCAAGACCAGATAGGTCCTAGCAGCGTACTAACCAACCGAGCCCCATTCATGAACCCCAATTGAATGGGTTAATTTCTAAATCCCTGGTTGAGGGGGACTCCGGATTGTACTTAGTTTTGAATCAGTTCAATGCTCCTTAAAAAACCAAAATGTTTTCCCTCCTTGTCTGCACTCCACTAGCCTAAAATCGGGCTTATGACCCGGCGACAAAATTCCGGGAGAGGCCTTAACCATCGATACTGTCATCCACGACCTCCTAGGTGAAATTTACCAGCGTGGTAAAAATTCGGATCCACCAAACACAGGCAATGCTGTGCAGTGGCGGGAAATCAGTGTAAGGCGTTGTCGATGGGTCCAGTCATACGTTCCTCATATTCTTAATCAACAATAAAAGAATGAATAATTTAAAAATTTATCAACACATTTTTAGCAATACAGACATATCTGCAAAATTCTTGCACATATTTTCAGCAACATAGACATATCTTCAAAATTGATGCATACCTTCTACGGCAACACAGACATATCTACAAATAGCTCTTATTCAAAAAGAGTATTTTTTAAAACCTAATTTTTAACTGGCTCAGAATCTTAGTGTGGTTCCTCCTTTGCAAAGAAAATACTGTAAGTTTATATAGTTTTACAAATATGTTAGAATTTTGTTATTCAAAAATCTTTGACGGTCATTATCTCGGAATTAAGGTTTTACTACTTATGACACTGTTGTCGCCCAGGTGCGAAATGTCAACAAATGTTTAATCAAGAAAAGTGTCAAAATCCTTAGTAACGTGTAAACAAGGTGATAAAAAATATTGTCGCTGTGATAAAATGCGCAACTATGGAATACTGGCATTTTATTGGTTTAATATCAATGAATTGTATTGTCTATCATATATGATATAATATCAACCTAATATTTTCAGTTTAAAACCTCAATGTTTACGCTCTTGTACATATTTTTAAATAATATGTAGATCATACACCCCCAAGGTGGGGCGCGACTTTTAGGATACCCTGTATAAATTATATAAAAAAAGATTTTTCATAAAATATCCCGGCGCATTCACCATTTTTTTTAAGTTTTTAAGTATATACATTCTATATTAAATTTTCTTTCTATAATATATTTCATTTTAATTCAATTAATTGAATTGTGAAAAATATCAACATTTTTATGATTAAACATCTATATTGAACCTGTTAAATTTAAGAATTTATCTAAGGATCTCGCTAAGAATAGTATATTGTTCAACGATTGAGAAAGTTGGACATCTCCATGGAGATTAAATATTGCGGCACGACCCGAAGGCGAGTGGAGTTATTCATCCAAATAAAAATGTCAAATTCTTAAGAGTTGAACTTTACACAACTTTACATAGTTAATGTGACCAAATTTTTTAAAAGAATTTGTACAATTACCACAAACAGATTCGATGACAAATGTAATTTTGAAAAAATAACAATAAAAACGAAATTTTATCTCATTGGACCCGTGGATAAATAGATCAATTTTCTCCACAGTTTAAGACTCAATTGAAAACGGATAAGAAATGTACAAATTCTTTAATATGGTTAGAAAAACATGTTTATATTATGGGTCCTATGTGAAATGTTTAATATTGTTATTAACTAATCACATCAAAATATAAATAAAACATTATAGTTAATAGCATTTTATTAAAAGTATTGGCAAGTACAGTATAGTGAAAATACAGTATACAGTTATACAGTACAAGAGTATAAAGATATAAGCTAATATAGTTATGATTATAGATAGTACAATAAATGTAAATTTGCTCAATATACCTAGTTACACTAGTTGTAATTAGTTTTTTTTAATTTTAACTCGTATATAAGCAAGCAGAGCTAAGCTCGTGTAATGAAATTACAATATAATAATAATGTTATTATTAATACAGAAGAAACGTGTCGTCACATCTAATTAATGAGTAATCTATGTTCTATTATAATTTAACTTTATTTAAAAGACTTCTGGTAAGGGATAGAGGTATCATAATGAGCACACTGTACCTTGTATGTTTAAAGAACGTAGCTTTGCTTTTTTATTCACTGTACAGAGTTTAAAATAAATTTCGATGACAAATTACACCGGACGTAAAAAAGGTTTCCCAGCACATTTTTTTCGTCCAGTTATACTAAAAGCTACAAAACATACAATCACAGTTTCTTTTATTTGGTAGTATCACAAAATATTCCCAGTATTTTTTGTACCACCAAACTTAATTTTGTATTAAGTAAAGCGGGATAAATTTATTTATGTAAACGAGTTTTACAAATTTATATTAAATTAATTTTAATAACTATTATAATTAATTAAATTTCTAGTCCTAACTCGTGCTATATTAATAACTCTATATTGTGCTTTCATCTAGAAGAAACTATCATTTTGTACGATATTATATTGTGTTAATGAAAAATGAAGAAAAAATTTATATGATACAACATATTTTTATTTTTAAATTTGAGTGAAATGTGACAAGTGGACAAAATTTACTTCAATGGTCCCTAACATCACTTACTACCGAAGGTAATAATAAAGATTGTAGATTTTAAATGCTTATATATGATTACTTATATATGGCATTGCATAATACCCGATTAGATTGGAAACCTAAAGCTCTCGTTAATTCAGTTTACTATCTGCTATAAATCCTGAAGATCCGATGCACTGCGAGTTTCTTAAGATGCTTATAATTAGGGGTAAATTTAAGCTTTTGGCTTTTGAACCTCGATGGTGACGCTTTCCAGCATCGGCGTCATAGCGGAGCTCTGGTTCGCCTGCGGAGGACTTTTGTTGGACCTCGTCGAAGTTGCAGAAGCGTTGCTGCTTCCACGTGATCCTCTTCTCGAACCTAAAAACAAACGCCCTGCGTGGGGGTAACGGGTTTTGAGTACGAAACTTGTGCAAAATATTATGGGGTGGGGATGGTAATGTAAGCAAACAATTCTACTTGAAATGAAAAAAGTTGGGTAGTTTTAGTTTGAAGTGTTAAGTGGAAGAACAAGAGTTAGCATTAATTGTGTGACCATTATGGTTAAATCAAGTTAACATAATTTTTAAAAAAGGGACTGAGATTCACTCACTTTCGCTGTTTCATTAATTGTTTGAAATAAGTAAAATTCATTGAAATTAAAAATTGGGTAATTTCACGAAAATGTAAAAACAATAAAATTCATTAAAAATGATATAAATAATTTAGACAGTATTTAATTGTTTTAATTATTTAAAGTCATAAGTTATTGTTTAATTAAAAAATAACACTAGTTCACAAAATCGAAAAAAAAATTCTGCCCACCTTTTCCCATTATAATTTTCCTATGTATTTTGACCCACTAAACACGAAAATCACACTAAATTTTTTTTTATGGAAGCGTTTTTGAAATATGAATTTTCAATTGTTTTTTTTTTCAATTTTCGGAGGTGTTTTGACGTTTTTGAGTATAGCTTAAAATCTAATTAATCGATTTGGTCAAACAATCCCTTAAATTGAAGGTATTTGAGCCCTCTAAAACTTTCTTTTACATAATTTTTATATCGGATAAGTATTTTGACGCTAGCCATTTTAATAACTTAAAAAATCGTTTTTATTGCAAAAATTAAGGTCGAAAATTTACATATCGTCCTGGGAAGGGTTTAAATCAAACATATAACTCCAGTTTAAAATTTTTTTCGTGAAGGTAACATTTTTACAAAAAAAAAAAGCTAATGTTGATAAAAATACATGGAAAAATGGCGAAGTTCAGCGAAATTCAGCTTTTTGACGATTTTTATTTAATTTTTTTTATTTTATTTTGTAATATGTTTATTCTTTAATGAAAACCTAAATAAAGTGTATGATTGGAATTGTTTGTATTTTTTACGTACTTTTTTCACCGAAAACATTATTCAAAATTTAAATTTGACATGACTCCGCAAACGTGAATTCTTTTGTTTCTTGTGTTGGCATAGTGACATTTTACTGATATTTTTTAATAATTCAACAAGGTATTTTTATCATGGTTTTATTTAGTTAATAAAACGTGTAAAATGAGTAAAAGAAGTAGAGAGTTCGAGTGCGTAAATACCCGCACAATCTGGGCGACGTAAGTGATGAGCACGGATAAATTTTTTCACCAGCAAATAAAGGCTAAGGAGCGGCGGTATTACGGCTTCTGGGATGCAGCCATGATGTGTGATTACATTTGGACCCTCATACAAGAAACGGAATACGAAAGCAACAAAAAACAAAGAAGGAGCCAGAATTTTTTTAAACCTATGCTTATTATAACGAAATAAAACTTTCAATTTCTTCAATTTTCATTATTTATTGTTTATATTCAATATATAATTTAATAAAATAAAGAAAAAACGTAAAAATTCTCGAAAAACCGAATTTTGGTCTTCCACTGAAAAATTCATAACTTCGCCATTTATCCATGTATTTTTATAAACAGCAGCCTATTTTTTTCCCTTTAAGTATAGTCTATATGGGGCAAAATTTGCCAAGTGTACCAGGTGAAAAAAATTTTGTCACCGATTTTGTTTAAACTTTACTTATTTGTTGTTCTTATAACGAAGAATCATAGCATAAATTTTTTTTGCTCTAGGATTGTTCATTCAAGAGTTATGGATTATTGAAATTTATCGATTTTTTACTTTTTGGTGAAATCGCTTTTTATTTAAAATTTCATAACTTCTGTTCATCTCTTTATTAAATATTTCAATTTAACCACCTTAAATGATTTTTTCCGTACTTTTCAATGGGCTATACCGTTTTTGCAAAAAAATAAAAATTGCAATTTTTTTTGAAATTTTGCAAAATTTTGCATTTTTTGAAACAATGTGTATTTTTTAATTTTTTTTAAAATAGCATAAAATCCAAGTTTATTATGTTACCTTTGAATAAAAAAAAATTTAGAGTGGGCCGACATGTAGAAGGGAAGTTTTTCATATTTGAATGCCGCACGGTCTAGCCATCGAATAGCTACTACACTGCCGTATGCGTTTATACCTAGTAGATGCGAGTAAACGAATACAAAATGATAATTTAAAATGTAAAATTATGTTTGAGTAGTCAAAGATGTATTTTAAATATTTACACTGCCGCACGATATAGTTTTTTTTATTGTGTATTAGTCCTTCGGAGGGGACTTTAAGCCCGCGGTCCGTTCCTACCCCTAACCCGCACAAGCCATTCAGTTGGCTTATGGGACTTCTTAAGAAGTAAGGGTGGAACTAAAAGAGCACTTTTGTATATAAACTGTATTTTTTGCACAAATTGCTTAAGCATGGGTCTACATAGATTTCGCAAGGAGGGTCGATGATATTAAATAAAAAATGTATTGTTATAACCGTAAAGGCGCCATTCAGCTTATAGGCAAGCCGTTACGGTTATAACAATAAATTTTTTATTTAATATCATCGATCCTCCTTGCGAAATCTATGTAGACCCATGCTTAAACAATTTTTGCAAAAAAATACAGTTAAAAAACTATATCGTGCGGCAGTGTAAATATTTAAAATACATCATTGACTACTCAAACATAATTTTACATTTTAAATTATCATTTTGTATTCGTTTACTCGCATCTACTAGGTATAAACGCATACGGCAGTGTAATAGCTATTCGATGGCTAGACCGTGCGGCATTCAAATATGAAAAACTTCCCTTCTACATGTCGGGCCCACTCTAAATTTTTTTTTATTCAAAGGTAACATAATAAACTTGGATTTTATGCTATTTAAAAAAAAAATAAAAAATACACATTGTTTCAAAAAATGCAAAATTTTGCAAAATTTCAAAAAAAAATTGCAATTTTTATTTTTTTGCAAAAACGGTATAGCCCATTGAAAAGTACGGAAAAAATCATTTAAGGTGATTAAATTGAAATATTTAATAAAGAGATGAACAGAAGTTATGAATTTTTAAATAAAAAGCGATTTCACCAAAAAGTAAAAAATCGATAAATTTCAATAATCCATAACTCTTGAATGAACAATCCTAAAGCAAAAAAAATTTATGCTATGATTCTTCGTTATAAGAACAACAAATAAGTAAAGTTTAAACAAAATCGGTGACAAAATTTTTTTCACCTGGTACACTTGGCAAATTTTGCCCCATATGTAAAATAAATCAAACTGGAATTATCCTTTCGATTTCTATTTTTCCCAGAAAGAAATGTAAATTTTTGACCTAGATTTTTGTTAAAAAAAGGACTTTTTCAACTTCATAAAATCGCCTGTATCGAACTACTGAGCCGATACCAAAACTATACAAGAGAATGTTGTAGATGGCTCAATTACCTTTGATTTAAGTGCTTGTTTGAAAAAACGATCAATTATAACTTGAAGTAAACGTCAAAACACCTCAGAAAATTAAAAAAAACAATTGAAAATTCATATCTCGAAAACGCTTCCATGAAAAAAATTGTAAGTGTGATTTTCGCGTTAAGTAAGCCAAACTACACAAGAAAATCATAGTGAGACATTGTGGGCAAAATAGCTGTAAACTAGTGTAATTAAACCACAACTAATATAAATCAAAATTTTAAACACACTTTTTCAGTTTTGACTCAAGGCTATTAAAAAGACTAGATGAAATTAAAAAAATATATAAATATTTTGCTTAACTTGCTGGGTGTTTCAATGTAGCCAACTTTATGTTTTGTGTTAATATGGTTAATATGAGTATTGATTATGTTTAATAAACATTTAATTTTTTCCAGTGTATATATATATATATATATTGTTCATGGTACAAGTCATAGGTATTCATAAAAAAGTAACTACAAATAACCATTATAATTGCAATATAATGTAGTTATTATTATTCCCAAATGAGCCCACGACTTTTGTGTTTGTTTATACAAATAATGGAAAGCAATTAATATATTTAGATTTATTTAAGTGGCTTCCCGGGGGCTCCTCCACTGTTATTTTTTTAGAAGAATTAAACAATTTTAAGCCAAAGGGCGAGCATAAAAAAGTTTTTAAATCTTAAGCGTTCAGACTTTCCAGTACTTGAAAACAATTTAAAATTTCGTTTATTAATGACAAATAGCACGATTATGAGAAGGTTATTGCTCATTTCATTTATTTTTAACATCCTCGAAAATTTTCATCAATTTTCTAAAAATATTTTACGATTTTTTAATCAAACGGTGCAAAAAGGTTCAATCTCACATTATAAGTAAGCAAATGAATTTTTATCAAACTTTTCAACGTGACTTGATAAGTATCTATTACTAGAACTAAGTATTGGAAAAGGATGTAATTTTAAAATACTTTCCAATTTCCAATATTTCTAATTTTCCTTTCAATGTTAAAGATCGTATGCTTATTTGGGAAATTTCTACTAAATTACATATATTTTTACAGTTTCGTGGCAGCAATTATACAGTTAAATGAAGCAAGCCTAATAATTATTATAGTCACAACAATTATGAATATCTTTGTTTATAATTTATGATGTATTTTTGGGTATGTATATTATTATAAATAATTAGTTTTATTAAATTTAAAGTGGAAGCAGCATAATGAATCCCTAAGAGAATTTTTTTAGTTTTATGGTTGAAATGTTGGGGGGGAAAATGTAACAAGACAAACTATATATGACTATTAAATAGTTGCATTGTATTTATTGTTCAACGTTTTAATTAAACAAATGTGGCTTGTTACTATTTTAATATTATTTTTGTCTATTTAACTTATTATGGTTAAGCATGTTATGTTCGTTTTTCGTATGTTTTAAAAATAAAAAGTATTCAAAGCAAAGCTGTTCAAACATTGGCGTAAGCTTAAAAAATGTGCAATAGTAAAGAAAATAGTAGGTAGGTACTTATTATTAACCTTCTGTTAGGCACATCAGATCAGCGAGAAGAAAAACATTAAATATTTTTACTTTATCTAAAGTTTTATATACAGATGATGAAAAAGTACAAACAAGTCTTTAAACCAAAATTACAACCTTTTAAGAAATTTGAAGTAAATTAACTAGTAAAATATTCACCTATAATATCCCTACTCTCTAAAAATGAATTAGTCAAAAATGACTAATTTAATAGTTATTAGTGGCTGCTTCTTCACTTGTACCATGTTTAACCATGTAATACCATGGTATCCCAAAATTTAACAGCCAATTCTTATGTAAAATTGTCCCCTGAATCCGAAAAAAGTAGAACAGTTTTTGAGATATACCTAGTCAATTTTGCATTTAATATGGAATTGATTATATCTCAAAAACTGCTCTACTTTCATAATTTTTGACGATATTTTCGGATTCAGGTGACAATTTTACATAAGAATTGGCTGTTAAATTTTGGGATACCATGGTATTCCATGGTTAACCATGTTACAAGTAAAAAAGCAGCCACTAATAACTATTAAATTAGTCATTTTTGACTAATTCATTTTTAGAGAGTAGGATATTGATAGTACACTAGATACTTTTATGACACTTGAAAGCACGTTGATTGGTAACAGCCCGACGCCGAATGCTTAAGAAAATTGACATAAAATTATGAGGCAATGATCAATGTCAGGGATATTCGGTAAGAAAATTGTTTGATACAAAAATCAAATAACAGATCTTGAAAAATTTGTTCCTTTAAAATTTTGTCCCATCTGTCTTCCTCATATTTACCGCCCAATCTTTCAGTATCAATGCCAGTTCTTCTACGCTTCAATGCACATTTAACTCATATTTTCGTGAAAACTCTATAAATATTTCCCACTGTTTGTGGTATTTTTTGCATTTGCATAGTGATTAAATGTTGAAATGATTTGTGTTTCATGACAAAAAATAACAAAATTTAAATGGCTGTTGGGACTGTCAAAAAATTTTGAATGCAAATTTTCTGATCGAATATCCCTCTGAAATTGACAAATGCCCCATAATATTATGTTAATTTTCTCAAGCTCTTCGCATTCGGCGGCAGGCTGTTACCTAGCAACGTGATTTTGATTGTCATAAAATTATCTCGTGCATTATAATTATCAATGGGATACAATAGCTGAAAGTTTGTTATAAACGTAAATAAACTATTTAATATTTAAGTTGAACAACTTAAACTTTTATTTCTTAAAAGAGATCCCAATTGGTCAAAACTATTTAAGTGAGTAAAAATACTTTACCTTGCGAATTGGGCGAATGTGCCCTTAACGAAGCCATGCTGGGAGGCCTACTGGGTCCTCTGGCGCTGCCCCTGGACCCTCGGCGCTCCGGGTGTTTGTTTTCCCTTAAAAGTGATACGTTCATCAATCGAGGATTCGGAGTATTAAATATCGTTCGATTTTCTCGCCATCTTGCCCTAAAAATTATAATAAAACAAGATTTAATTTATAAATGTTACTGTATTACTGTATTATTGTTATGTTTATGTTAATTACCCATAATTCAAAACAATTTTGATTTTAAATATACATATTTTAAATAAACCTAAAAGTATAACTGGTTCCCAAAACAGAAACTAATAGTCAACAACAATATTATAGTACAATTAGTTGGGTACCTATATAAAATATATGTTATATGTGATGTGGAAAAAAAGGACCTCTCGTCGTGAGTCTTAAAAAAAATAATTTAAATATTTATTAAATTTTACGGAAGCGGGTGTTTCGAGAAATAACCGAAATAACAAAATATTGCCAATGTATCCAACATTTTAAATAACTTTCTTTAGAATGTCGACTAAAGCTAAATATAACTGCTAACTGTTTAAAAAATGTTGGTAAACATATCTGTCGAAAGAATATCATGTTTCAAAAAATATAACTGTTTAAAGAATGTCGACTTACGATGGATATAAATGTTTAAAAAATAGTTTCCTAAGAATGTTTATTTAGGCCAGATATAATAATTTGCCTATATCAAAATCTGCCTTGAATTTCCAAAGAAAGAACTCAACTCACGAAAAACAAATAAATAGTTGGGTTAACTTAAGTACATGCGGTCACACCAAAACTATAATTAGTAATCCGTCTGTCAGGTTGGCGAAATTTAGTCTGCAGCTCTTCCACAGCAATCTTTTTGGTCACTTCATACACTGGGAAAAGTAAACATTCCTCTCTGTAGAGCCTGTTACTTGGTAGAAGAAAACCTAATGCATATTATTTATGATTGCCCTGCTTTTCTCGAGCCCAATTTAAGAAAAGAATGAATTGGAACAACCGCTTTCCCACCTCCCTCCTGAAATTCTTTCAGAAGCTTGTATGGCTGGAGATCCATAAAGATGAGCAAGAATAATTAGGAAAAACGACTTTTTGGAGGTAGTTCAAAGGACCAAATGTCGAGGGGGGGGTTGGTAAAATATAAAAGTAAAATGAAACTATAAAGATCATAAACATGTTTGGATTTCTAAAAAAATCTTAAATCAAAATTTGGATTTTTTACACTGATAAAAAGAGTAAGTTCGATTTAGTAAAACAATATTTTTAATTTTCAAGGTTTCATCATCAAAGTGAATAAATAATTATTTTTCGGGACGACAGTGTATGTATAAGGAAATGTTATATGTGGCAACAAACGTTGCAATCATAGGATTTATATATTTGGGCTTCTAAAATTGTATAAAATAATAAATGCCAATGTCATATTTTTTAATAACTACCAAATGACCAGTGGCGGATCATACCGATTTAAACATTAAATGCGTGGTATATTTATATTTTTTGAAAAAAATTTAGAATTTTTAAATTAAATGCGGGTTTAAAGGTTCAAGTCATTTTATTGTAATAATTATCTATTTGCAGAAAATGAAAAAACTTAACTAAATTAAGTGTAGTACGGCGGGCCCCCCTAGAGACCAGGCTTTCTGCACCGCTCCCTTTTGCTGTACGGTAGTTTCGCCACTGTGAATTACATATTTGTAAACTTATTTTCAGGTACAGTTAACTTAACTAAAGTTCTTCTAAAATGATTAAACTTTTAAATGGATAAACACAGTTTTGTTTAAGATATAAACTTTGTTAATAATTTTAGTTTAGTTAAAACTATATGTCATATAAAGAACTTAATAACGAAACATATTTAGGTCTAAAACACATAAATAAATAGTGTTTTATTCTTAAAGTTTTTACTGTATATTAAAATGACCTAATATTAACATACAATCCATTATAATAAATGGTTTAAGTATAAAAGAAACTTAAACTTAAAATAAACATTTTAATATTTACACTCTTGGTAAAACTTGTTAGCAAACAATAAAGCATACAAGATTTTTTTTATCAAGAAACCCCTAATTCAACAATTTAAAATAAAACACAACAAAGAATAAACAAGCCGGCACGGGCTTTGCTTAATATTCGTAATCACAAAAAACACGAAAGTGAATTCCAGAAAATACTGAATAATTTGTAATGAAACGGAGTGTATACGAAGTTTAACATATCGTGCGTATCACTACATAATTTTTATGAATCACCAAAAATTCAAACATTTAAAGTTAAAGTTGTTTTCGAATAATTTGAATGACATTTTAGACCTCTTTCAATTTTAATAAAAATACAAGGCCGGAGTGATAAGTCTGGTAAAAATTAAAGAAGAAATAATATTTTTGGCAAAAATATACGATTAAATTTTTAACGTAGTCTCCTTTTAGGTTGATACACTTAATGAAACATTTTCCAATTTTAAGATTCGCTGCAAAATAGGCGGTTGTTTCATTAAAAGCTGAATCTCTTTCCACCGACCCATTTCTTTTAGTTTGTAAATAAAAATAGTCGCAATGTGCTAAATCTGGAAAATATGGTGGATTTGAAAGTAATTCATGGATTTTGATCATCGCAACTACACATGTGTGCAGTGCACACTGTGCACCCTTTTTTCGCCAAATACGGTATTTTTTTCTTTAAAATGTAGTTAAAACAGTCTAATAAATTAACATAATTTTCGCCGTTGATCGTTCTTTTTTTCTTAAAATAATTCTTGTACCGCGTGCCGCGTGCATTCCAAAAAAAATTCGGCTAAAACCTTGTCGGCCGATAAAACCGCCTTGGCCTTCTTTGGCGCCCGAAAAATCTACTGTTTAGACTGTTATTTATCTCTGGGGATCGTAATGGATCCATGTTTCATTCACTATTATAAAACGCCGCAAAAACTTACCACTCTCCAACCTGCCTTTAAAGTTGTCACGCGTGACACCTGCAGGTCGGAAATAGCTATTTTTGTCAAAAAACCTCTTAATGGTTTAAACTGACAATTTTTTTATGAAACTATATGTTAATGGGGGTGCTAAGTTGTCAATTTAATATTATTAATATTTTCTATATAATAATATAGTATATAATATTTTATTCAATTTTAAACAATTTTTACTACATAACAAGGAGTTTATTGTTAATAATTAATACTTTAAAGAATATTGAGTGATTTCAAGTAGGTACATAACAAAAAGTATATCGTAAATAATACCATTTTGACGGTGCAAAAATTATTTAGAAAAATAACAATTCAAGTGAATTAAACTTGGTATTTTAAATTTCTATGTTCTTTGGAAAGCAATTCTTTTTAGTTTCAAGTACTTGTACATAGCTTTGAAATATATTGTGTCTGTTTCCTTTATCGCCTTCCTAAATATTTGGTATTTGGACAAGGGAGCCTGAGTTATCAGGGCTAACGCAGAATCAGGATCCTACTGAACCTATTTAATTTTTTTGCGATGACGAAGCAGCTGTAAGTCTAAACTTTTGATGAATTTCAACATCATTGTTCGGCATTAAATGATTAAGAATTTTAGGACATTTATTGAAATCTTCCTTTAGGGCGAACATAATAATATTACCTTTTCGAGAATTCCGATTTTCAATTTCGCTTATGACTTCATCAATAGTAAAAGTAAAAGTTTGCGAAGTAGTTGGTAATTAATTGTTTTTAAGGGTTTGAATTTCTTTTGGTTAAGAAATTATAAGCGATTTTAATTCCATAATATTAGCGTTACTCTCAGTTGCACAAGATGTACAGGTCGAGTTAAGATTTTTATTATTCGTTAATTAAAATAAAATTTTTAGTGGAAACATGTTATTTACGATAATATTCGCTTTTAATGCATTTTCAGTTTGCACATTCAACATTGTGTACAACTCGCCCAACATACGGCTATAAAATTTCTGGTGTCGACCCTACAACACCTATATTTTGAGGTCTAATTAGAAACGCTATGCAAAAAACACTCTAGGTTTATTTAAAAAAAAAATTATCCTTTTAAAGACTCTTATATATACTTTAAACAATTACAGCACCGGCCGATTTTTTAAATCGTTTCGTTACAAACAGCGACATTTCTCATTAATTCATGATAAATTTAGGTTTCGATGAGTATTACGTTTAACAAATTTTATTTAAAATTAAAAGTTGTTCAGATTATGTGTGCACACATACATGTATAGATGTTTAGGAATGTAAAATAACCCATTAAATCATTTGGATATATATAACCACAATGAAAATTAGTAAACCACTGTTGAATCATTTAAATCTATGGTAAAAACTATCCATAATATTTATCGAGCCTTGTCTTGGTTTCAGTAATATTAACGATTAAAATGCCTCATATTTAAATTTTACCAGGCTTATCACTCCGCCCTCATGGCTTATGAATTTCTGCAGAAAATACAAAGTATGGGAAGACTTAGTCATACATAAAACAAAATAAATAATTAAGTACAACGTATAATACAATGGTCCCTACATTTTAGTACCAGTAGGATTATAGAAGAATTAGGGCAATTATCAAAGGTGGGAAATTAAAACAATCTAAATAAATAAAAAAGTGACCGATAATGGAAAGAGATTATTTTTATAATTTTGTTGTTATATATTTATTAAATATTATTTAAGGAGTGTATTTTAAATAATGGTTTCTTGGGGAATTTAGGTTTTTTCACTTGGTTAATTATTTTCAAACCCTGAAACCCTAACAATAATTTACGTAGTTTAAGAGTTTGTATTATATTCTATTTAGATAAAGTCGCCTGTTTAGAACAAATACCAAAAACAATATTATCATGATGATAATATCATCAGTGGGCAAATAAATACTTCTAACTATAAAATTTTAATTTTTGAATGTCTTGTGTTTTTATGTTAGAAAAAAGGGTTGTGCTCAGGCTAGTGGATAAAAAATCCATCATTTTATTTTGCCAACAAGTTTATAATTTGGTAAAACTTATTATCGAAATTCGTGTTCTGTTCGATCCACTCGAAGAGCACCTATACTGAAATAGGTAATTACTGGTACATTTTTGGTTAAATGTCCTCTTTAATGGGAACAATTGCCGTTATTTGACTAAATCCACTTCCCAAACGATA